GCTCTTGATTCTTTTTCAAGCACTGACCCCCCCCCCCCTCCAAATTAGCTGCTGTTACTGAAAGTATTAGCATGATCTCCACCAGATGCTGGATGTCGTGATAAAAGTAAAACACATTCACAGAAAATGGATGTACACTAGAACATTTTCTGTAGTAAGGGAATATTTATGAGTATTCTGGTAGAATGAGTGCCAATATGAATGTTTTGAGACTGAAAATACATAACAAGCATCTATGTGCATTTATGGTTGACACATTTTTATCATGTACAAATGAATTACAAGGAAACACTAGTACTAAGTAGTCAGTTTTGTATGATTCCTTGGTTGTGTTGTAGGTGTGCACATACAGAGATGGGTTTTTGGTGTGGGAGCTCCTCTTCCCTGCCTGTACCCATTTTTGAAGTGAAAGGTAGAGGAATCTTTTGAATCTGATGTACAATTCCAGATGGTGTAGGTTGAGGTTAAACTCCCATTGATGGTCTATTGTGCCCATAGCCACTCTGCACCAGGGGGTCCCATTATTTCTGTATTTTTTGGAGACCCCTCCAAGTTCCCACTCTTTACATTTTGGCGACACATTACTAAAGGACAAAGAGTATATGTCGTCTCCCACAGGTGTGTTATTTTTAATTCCTTATCACATCTCATGGTCTTCTTTTGGGTGCTTCCTACTGGATAGATCATGTTCTCACCGGCTCTCCACCAGTTCAGTGTGGGATTCTAGCTTTTTGTGAGTGGAAGTAAGATATCATATCAGAAGTTAATATTTTCTTAAACTGAAAATGTATTTCCAATAGATACTATCTCCTCTCACATTTCCCACTCGTCCTCCCCACTTCCAGTGTGGTTTGGTTAGTTAAGACATCAGCTCAAAAATAATTAACACTTGGAAAAAAACTTTCCATTAAAAATAAAATTTCTGTTGATGTCAAATTCACCCAAAAACCTGGTACTAAACTAAAATCATTATTAAATAAAAATTACATAGAATCACACAATTCCAACTTCATTTATAAAATAACATGCAATAACTGTCTAGAATTTTACATCCGAGAAACAGGTAGAAAATTGGAAATCAGATTCACTGAACATAATAAAAAACCCTCTCATATTTACCACCATTGCAGCACAAAAAAACCACAGTATATCCATTCAAAACACTGTAATTTTAAACAAAGAACCTAACATCAATAAAGGTTAAATAAAAGAAGCTATCTCAATTGAAGAAAACAACCCCACCCTAAATCAACACCCTGTGGTACCAAGATACCTATATTAGACTATGAAGCAATATCCTGTCGTGTGATCTCTTTGTTCTATACTGCGTACATATACTCATGTATCTCTGTAAACTAATTGTACCTGAGGATGACAAAGTCTTGTTGTACAGTTATAATATAGTTTTTTTTCATTACCCAAATTTTTGTAATGAAACTCTTGAGCCTGTTGAGTAGTCAGAAGTCACTAATGAGATTGCTTGTGAAACTTATACATTGATGCACCAGAATAAACTGGTCAAGACTTCTGATGAACACATTGTTTCCATTGTATTTCTCCAAGAGTTTGGGGACAATGAATCTGACACTGAAAATGATCCACCAGTTGAGCCAGTCAGTCTGAATATAGCACGGTCTAGTTTTAAAGACATAATCACATTGTCTGACCAAAACATTTACTTATGTTAAGATGATTATGATGTTATGTGTTATTTGCTTAAAGCTGTTGAGATGCATCAAAAGAAAAAAAATTTCGTACAGAAGCAAACTGTGATTACAACCTTCTTTGGAAAGCAATTTGTTGTATATGTGACCAACATGTTGTACTTTGTGTTCTGGAAGTAAATACATAATTAGTTTGAACAAAATGAAGTTTTATGTGAAGATAATGAAATGGCACTTTGATTATGCAACTTGTGTAATTATTGATGACTTATAAATAAGTTTATTGTATATATATACATTTGCTGTTTTTTACTAGTTACATGCCAGTCTGTACTGGTTTGAACCATTACATTTATTGATAGATAATGCATACTGTTAATAGTGTCCATTAAATTCAGAATGACTGATTTGACTATCTGTATGTCTCAATAATTAGTTCATTACAAATGTGTTTTTCAATTAATCAGGTTTCACTATGTACAAGTAACTGCTTTCAATTGGTATTTGATTAGAAATTAGCAGAATGACTTTTTTTTGTTGTGTTCAACTTGTACATACTACTAAAATAAATATTTGTTATTTAGATTCTCAACTGCAGGTTGCGCTACTTGGATTATTTTGCGAGCTTATTTATAGGTAAGTCACATTATCAGATAATGCTTATAATTAGAAATTGAGTGCATTATTGAAGAACATGATATTGTAATGATAGAATAAAAAATAACAGCTGTTTGAGCAAGAAAAATAAAAAAAAACTTTGAGATTTCCTTGTTCTATTATAAAATTCAGATTTTTTTGGTTATTGAACTAATAATGATTTACAAATGTGTAAAAACTTTGAGCTGCAGAAGGTAAAACAGACTCAAAAAAAGTACAAAATTTGTTACAAATCAGTTTTTAGATGTTATATGCTTGAATTAGCAACAAACCTGTAGGCTTCTTAGCACCAACTTTCACAAATGAATCAGACGCAGATGTAACTTGTTTTTAACTATTAATAATGCTTCTTGATTTGTCATCAAAGTTCATTTCACAAACATGCCTAGTGGTTTGATCTCTTGAATTATTATAAACTGTTGTGGAAACTTTAAACTGAAAAATATCTAAGCTTGTATTGCTGAACAGTTTGTAAGTTGTCAAACTTTTTGTTGTTGTTGTTGTTGGCTGAATTCACCTTTAGAATGTGGTGATGTTGTTTTGTGAAATTTAGGAAAATAAGGTAATCAATTGTCATCATACATTTATTTCTTAATTTGTAACCTTGTAACGTTATCTGTAACTGCTCTGTTGCAGTTTGATGATGTTTCGAGGAAACCCCAATATGACTAATTGACCAGTACCATTTGAAATATAAAATAGAGATGGAGATTTATCTCTTACAGTTACAGCTGTGAGGATAAATATATATCAAATTGATCTAAGTTATCTATTGAGTCAAATAAATATGTTTAACACAGTTGTCTATAAAAGTTGTTTTTAGTTTAGAGTGAAATTTCCAACCAGCTAATATGGATTTGGACATATGGCAGAATTAGCCAATTTTTTTTGGAAAAAATTATTGTGATCATTTGGAAAGAAATCCTTGAAATTGAAGTTCTCAGATTAAGGCAGTATCTGTTTTATTAGAACACTACTTATGACAGTTTCATCTTATGCATACATGGATATTGATAGTCTGTCTATTAGGCATGAGATTAAAGACATATTTCCTGTAGTAGTTACAAGGTTTTTTTTTCATGTAAAACTTAGAGAAAATTTTTTCCTTCTAAGCAAGTGAATCATTTTCATTTTTATGACATTCTATGTGTCCAATTTTGGTTTAAAGTTTATTCTGAATCATTTTTTGAAGTGTAAAGCATCAGCTTTTTTTTCATAGCTTTTTTTTTAGCATAAGAATTTTCTATAAACCTGACACGCAGCAATATTGTTTTCCAAGTTCATAATCATTAGCTAATATTTTTGTTAATAGTTGTTTTAAGTGAATAGTTCCCAACCTTTTCAATGGACTGGAAAAATCAGTAGAAACTTTATGGAATATTGGGAGTATATATATATAAACCTATAGACTCACACTAAATATGAGCCATAGATATGATGTACAGAGAATGTAAATTGTTATACCTATTAAAGGGGTTTTGCACTAGCGGGCCAAAAGTTTGGTAAAAGAGTTGTTTCCATTTAAAATTAAATAATTCAAGAAGCTTTAAACTGAAAGCTATAAGGCTTACTAATGAATGAAGAAGGACACAACACTTTTTGCCTGTTTCTAACACGTATACAAATTATAAAGTTCACAAACATTAAACTGCATTTTTTTTTCTCTCTCTCTTCTTTTTTTTTTTCATTAGATGTTTCTGAGAACCAGTGGTTGGGAACGATTGCTTTAACAGGGGCATTGCCAGGGGTCGTTTCTGAAATTGATAACACATGTAGACTTAATTAAGCCATGAGTCAGTAGTAGTCCATTGCAAGGTTCATGTCACATAGCAGAAATACCTTAGAAAATGAAGTTAAGATTATAACACTACATTTGGAAGCTTTTGTAACACTATATATAATGTTCTGTGACTATCAGACTGCCATTGAGCTTCAAAAGGTGGTCGTTTGCACCCAGTCATACTCCTTGACAGTGCCCATGTTTTAAATTTTATGATTAATTCATGCCTGACAATATTCTTTTTTAATAGACTCTTGCAAGTGACAACCCAACTTTTATTAAGTAGTTGAATTGCATTTTCTTACCCTCATATAATTCTTTATATATAATGAAAATATGTTTTATCCAAATGGTTATTTTTTGAATGTTTTGTAGTAATGTTGTTGTTTTTTCAATACGCAAAGTTCTATTAACAGCTGATACATTTAATCTTCTAGAAGTTTTGATATGTCTGAGTCACAATAACAGCTGCTAATCTTATGAAAAATTGGCTTTGTGAATGCAGTTTTGGTGCTCTTGAGGAGAATAAGTTTTGTTTCTGTTTTGAAAGATTTTAAACATGTTGTAAAAGTCACGTCTGTCTTTTCAATGTTCTTTGGTCTGCTGGTTGTGTCATTTGACTATTTAATATTAGGCTTTCCTTTATTTTACAGCACAATAGTTGTACCACACAGTGAGCAACTGTATTCATTTATTTTCCCCTGATCAGATGTGGCCACTAATTTGTGAAAAAAAATAGCCACCTGTCTACGATGTTTACAGAGCTAAGTATGGATTGATATGTGCGTGGGAAATTACATGGATATGATGGTGAATTTTTAGTAGCTACAAGTGCTGCTAAAACTCTTCAGTTCTGTCTAATACACAAGTGGTGTTTTGTGGTAAACTACCATCACAATCTGTGGTAGTGCCATCAACTGACAATGATGTTAAAGTGATGTTAGAAACACTTTGGTTTTTGGCAAGAAGGCAGATATCTCTGTGATCAAAATATATTCCAGTTATGGTTTGTAATTATGGTATACAAGCCGTAGAGAATTTGGCTGGAACAATGATAGGTACAGTGCATAAAGAAGAAATTACAAAAATAATGGAATAGCTAGTGTTACTTCAGCCAAACTGCACTGGGAAACAAAATCCTGGTTGCCAGTACACTGAGTCCACTGATCATAAATTCTGTGAACAGTCTAGCTCAGTTGGTTACTAATGGTGTTCATCAGTGTATGTGCCAAAACAGATTGTCACTGTTTCAGAAAGAATAAACATCACCTAGCATCATATAGATATCAGATACCCAACCTATAAAACAATCATTGCACAGCCTTCCTTGGAGCACCAGGATTGTAGCCAGCACCAAGGTAGATCAGATACTAAGGACAAAATTATTCAATCTTCAGAGATATTTGATCATCATATTTAGTGATTGTCCAAAAGAAAACAGATACATTGAGATTCTGTGTGGACTTCAGATGGGTGAACATGGTAATGTGTATTGATGTATTTCAATTCCATGCACAGACAAATGTTTTGATGCAACGAAAGAATCCCATTTGTTTTATATATTAGATCTCACCTCTAACTAGTGGTAAGTCAAGGAAGACAATGAAAGTAAATGAAGACTTTTCTTAACATTCCAAAAGGCTTGTATGAGTCTTTGATCATGTCATTCCACCTCTAATATGCCAAGCTACCTTCAAGTGGCTGATGGAATTTGTATTATGTTGTGAGTTACAATGAGAACAGTGTTTAATTTATATCAACAGCATTCAGTTGTTTGGACACACATTTCGTGTTGCAGTTGAAAACCTGTATATGATATTTCAATGTTTTCCACCCACATGTGTGAAACTGAGGCTAGGGTGTTCTCATATGTTTTTGCATGTAAAGTTTCTCTGATTTCTAGTTAATATAGGTAGAGTATCTGCAGATCCTGCTAAAATATGTGCAGTGGTAAACTGCCCTGACCCCAGCAATAAGAAGAAAGTCTGAAGTTTTCTCATCTTTTCATCATATTACAGATGTTTCATGCATTGTTGAAGTGGTTGATGAACTTCAGAGAACTGGAAAGTATGATCACAATATTGTAAGGGTACAATTTCACTGTACACCACTGAATGGGCCAACCAAGAAATGCAAACTTGCTTTCTCATTGGTAGATGAGAGCTTATACATTTGTAGATTGTCTAGAATTCCCACATAATGTTGGTGTCAAAACTAGTCTTAGCTTTGACAATGAGCCACACAGCTATTGAATATTCTGATGCTGAATGTATACTGAATCTGACAAAAGAAAAGCTGCAGGAATAGAGTATAAAGGCCTGGTTTTGGCACTATTTGCTGTCTAGCAAGGAGAAATGCATCTATCACAGATCAGTGAACATAGTATGGAAGTATGTAACCTTGGGGAATTGTTTGATCAATTGCAGGTATGAGAAAGAGTGCTATACTATTGCTTCAACCTGTACAAGTGCTCTGCTTAACATGTGACGCAGCTAATAGTTGCAAGAGGTATGTGAATGGAGATTCTCCAAACATTACATGATGATCTTATCTGTGGGATTTCCGGGAGTTTTTGCACTACAGCCAACCTAGTCAGCTTTACTGGCCACATTCTTACAAGGAAATAGAGCAATGTTGTAAACATTCTACTTCATGTGCCATTCAGAGGAAGAACCATCCTAGTAGGAGAAACTCCCATCAGTAATTATAGGTTCTCTATTCTATTCTAGTGAATAGCTCAAAATACTGCCAGAATCCTCCTTCAAATTGTCAACAGTAAGCATTACCTCTTGGTAGTAATCACTTACTTTAATAAATGGGCTGAAGAATATTCCTTAACCAGTATGTTGGTTCAAACAGTTGCTGACACATTGCCTGAGCATTTAATAGTTCACTTTGGAGCAACTTAGGAAATTTGTATTGATCAAGGAACAAATGTTAATGGTCAGCTATTTGCTGAGTTGTGTAAGAAAAGACTCATACTTCACCTTATTAGCCATAAGAGCATACAGTGGCAATTTATAAAGAGAAATTATCACAGACTGTATTCTCATAACAGAGTAGAGAAGAATAATTTATCTTCTCAATTGTATTCTAAAGTGATTGAACAAACCTGTGTGGACTTTTGATAAAAAAGAGACAATTATTTAAACTCTGGATACAACTGTGGTAACCAACAGTGTAACGTAAGTGAAATTATCACC